AGGCAGGAGGCAGAGCAATGCACCTGTTCATAGAATTGTTTTCGGAGCTCAATGGTTTAAGTAGCTGCTGGTCTGTGTTGTTGTCCTTGTGTCGCCTGATTCGGATTCATGGCTCGTTTCCAGAACGAGTTTGGACAATAGGTCACTCCCCTCCCCAGTTCTCTAATAGGTTGGCGGTCGTGTTTGCGTTATACTGTTTTTCCACTATTGAGAACTTTGAACAGCATGAAAACTTTCGGCATGAGTTGGAATAAATGAAAAGAGCCTGGTTATACGCCTTCATGTGGTCCTTCATCGCATGTATAATTTCTGTGATTCCGTTCGTTTTTTATGATGATTAACCCCCTGAATGGGTCTCAAGGCTTCCCCCGAGATATGACAGCGCATGTAAACCTATTTCATGTAGTCTTTTCTAATACACACACAGCTTCTGCCAAAGTTGCTTGGGCATTCGGGAGTGTCATTTTAGATTGCATTTGGCCATCTACGTGTTCTGTTTTTAAACTTCCCTTCCCGCCTACTTAAGGGATGCAACCGCTCGTCTTCTCCGTCTGCGAGGCCATGGAAGGCAGACCCTACTGGCTAAGAAGCGGTGAGAACGTGAAGTACTACAAGAACCATTTTCTGCGCATGGCTTCCCCCGCAGGTGAGTGAGTTGGATAAAAAATTTCGATTTGACTGATCTATCCCATACAAAGTGCTGAAGTCTACAAAAAGCTACTAATCACCCACAAACCAGCAGCGATGAATGGTCCAAAGCTTTGAGACAATAATGAGCGTGACTTTAAGGGAATTAACACATGAAGGAGATGCTCAAAGTACTAATACCCTTTGTTAGAAAGGCGAATAGATCCGATAAAATTGTTATAAGTGAAGGCCTTTTGTGCAAGACGCCGGGTAAATAGAAGAGTTTCAAAAGTATTTCGTTAAAAACTACTTCTTCAGTGGAATTTGCAGTTAAACATCAAGAATAAATGCAATTTATTTGGATGACCGTTTCTTAAAATGACCTTTTTTTGCACCTTGCTGCATTTGATTTTCGATGCTAAAACATCAATTCTCGTGCGCGACAACTTCCATTTAGTAAAACTCTCGAGTTCTGATATCCTTCTCTTCACATAGAAACACACGTGCGCAAACTTAGTCAAGGATAGATATATTAACAGCAACATGTCAAACTACAATGAAACGTAAATTATTTGCTCAAACGTGTGAACATTATTTATAAACTTATTATGCATGCAAAAAACATATGTCGTGGAATAGCATAGGCGAAGAAGTAAAACTTGGGGCATTTTTCGTTGCCTACAATTGAGCGTCCCATGGGACAGATCGCATACTATACAATATACGCCAAAACTCGGGGAAAACTTAAGCCATTTGATGAGGAAAGGTGCAGTTACTTCACATTACTGGCTGTGTAGTGTGTAGGTGGCGTTTCTTTCCAATCGTCTGGCGTAATCCTGGGTTATTGGAACAGACAGAAGGCACCTGTGGAAGGCATTAATTGTGCTCAAAACTCCTGGTTGCAGTCTCAAGCAGCAGTAGCTACTGGCGAAGCCAGGTCTGGTGTTGACTGTGTTCAGCTAGGCCTAAGAGAGCGTGAGGCAGCGGTGACAACTGCCTCAGTAGGATTCGGAAGTAGAAGATGCGATCCCTGAAATATGAAGTTTATTTGCCTGACGTTTCGGATTCTAGCTTGAACCATTCATCAGAGATAACTGCAGAATGGAGTAATCCATGCACAGATTGAGCAGTGGTTATAGTCCGTAGCGGCCACGCGACCGCATGTTGGTTACACTTAGCAGCTCCCATTATCATCGCTTGGGGTCCTATTTGATGCGATGATGGTCTGGCAGTCCGCTTC